CAGTTATTTCCTCTCCTTATCCTTCTCGCCTCATTAATTAAGACATAAACATTCAAAGTGTTGCCTGATTTTTCCTAGACTTGAAATAAAATTGTAACAATACAACAGTATCATTAAAACATACATGCATCATACAATCTTCACAAACCTCACACCAACAAAAAGAATTCTCCACACCAAAGTGAAATAACGTCACCACAACACCAACAGAGTTGGAAAATTGATGCACACTCCACCCCTCATCCCTTAAACATAATTAAAAGAAAAATTCCCCACAGTTGTAATGCTCTCTGGCAATGTCCTGTCCATGTTTTGCCCATTACCTCTCCCATTTACTGCCCTTACCTGGAATTTCTCAAGAGCCCCATGTTGGGCACCACAAAGGACAGCAGCACAGGTTTGAATCATCTCTTGTAATCACTTCTAGCCCATTTTATAATATTCCTGAAGACCTTGGGTCAGCTGGACTCAGGATCCAGCAGAATTAACTAACCTCTAGCTGTATACGGCTTCAGAGGGACACACAACGAAGACCGATCCTGGCTTCCCGGAAGATTGTTGAATCGCTGGCCCATGGCAAGGCAAGCCCATCTTTACAATCATTTAAACACCAAAATTTCAACACTGTTCTGTGTTGAATGTGAGAAGGATCCACCTCTCACAGCTCTGGACCCCAAGATGCTGCAGACAGCTGCACTGCAGCTAATCTTCCTTTGCAGAGCAAGAGGCACTGTTCTCCTTGGGGTGTCTTGTATAAACCTGGAGTACAGGCAAATGTTGATCAGGATCCTCTAAGACGTGGTCTTTTGCACCAAAAAATTGCTTTTCCTTCTCAAGACTCAGGTGTAACATGTAATTACAGTGTGACAAACACTGTTCATCAGGTGTATGTGTCTTCCTTTTTATTTAAAAAGCCCTGTTCATGCCACTATAAGGCACTACCCAAATCCTAGGGTAAACTCTGCCTCAAAATGGTAAAAAAGAGGGAGGAAAGAGATGTAACACACCAAGAGGGGAAGGAGCTGTGCCTCCTTCTAGCTCAAACCCAACAGATTGGCAAGGTCCCAGGTGCTTGCAGATCTCCATGTGTGTTTACTCCAAGCCCTTCAGTCCCTCCACACAGACCTACCCAAACAGTTTTATTGGGGCTTAAGTGCATTAGTATAAACCTGTTCTTCATTAGTTTAAATTAACCATAATAGCCCTGGTTTAGTCTGAAACAAGGAGACAGATGGAAAGCAATGAGGTAACTGGATCTTAATGAGTTGATGTTCATTAGCTGAGCTGGGGTGACGGCACAGGACGTGCTCTCTCCCTGCTCTAGTTAGCAGAGGAAGGGCAACAATGCAACCCCAAAGATCTTACGGATGGTTGGGGCAGGTCTATCGGTCCTGAGCAGCACACGGGGTGGCAGCACCCAACCTTACCCCCCCCCCAAAAGGTGCCCCTTCAGCTCAACTATCCCATCCCTGTGTCTCATTTGAACTCTGCTGTCCATGCCAGCTCAAACCTCTCAGCAACGTGGGCAAGTTGTCTTCAGAGAGGTCAGGAGAGCAGGAGGGGTCACCCAGGGAGGGCAAGATTCAAGGTCATCATCACCCTAATGGCATTTCCTATCATGTCATTTGGGAGAAGCCTTTCTTTTCTGACCAAAAAGATGGTTAAAATCCCACTGTACGTGAGAAGTTTAGTCCAGCCTTAACTTTGGAGAAAGGCACATGTTTCCTTTATCTCTGTATGTCACTAGATAGATTAGATATGATATATTTATCTAGACAGAAATCTGGATAGCTGCAAAGATACAGCTACAAAATTCCATGGGTTGAGATCATCTCATGCTGACTTTAGCATCCCAGTAAGAAACGATACTTCATTTTGGTGGTTGACATGTTTTCATCAAAACATAAGGAAAATGAGTAATTTGACCTTAAGTGTGGAGTGTTTGGGTTTGGGCTTTTTTTTTTTTTTTTTTAACTCGCATTTTAAAAACTATAAAGGATTTGTTGGGTCGGGTTTTTTAGGCAAAACCATCCTTTTGAATATTTTCCTTGTACAACTCTTGTTCCTGTTTGCTGGCATTTTCCAGTTGCTCTACTTTGCTTGTTCCCAGAAGGATCAAAAACCCAGCTCTAGGAAGGAGGGTGAAATCTTAAGGAAGAGAAAAGTGTACGAAAGAAATAAGAAAGACCAAAATTATGTCATTTCCTGCAATGATTGTCAATGAAAATAAAATAATAAATATATTATCATATTTATCATAATTTATCATGAATATACTCTCATATCCAGTGAATGAACAGATCTCATGCTCTGACAGAGAAACAGTTAAATCCCCTCACTTTCCACTTGGACTGCCATTTAAAATAATTTTATTTAAGAAAGAAAAGTTGAAAAATCATGGATAAACACACTCCAAGGAAATATTTCCTGTGTACAGTAGAAAGGAGCCGAGGGAGAGCCCCTGTTCAACACTGGGGTCAGTCCCCACCGCAATGTATGGAGGCAGGAGAGTAGGGTCACTGGGAGGAAACCAGTGTAAACAGGATCTGCTTTTATCAGTGGGAAAAAAAAAACAACCCTGTTTAAATTAGCCAGAAATATGTGCCTATATGTTTTAATCACCAGCTGCTGTTTCCAAGTCTTGCAGGGGGGTGAAGACACAGACAAGTAGCTGCCGATCATACGCTGTTCCCGAATGCAAGATGCTGGTTGTCCCTTTCTGCTTTTGGGATGAACTTTGGGGGGGGGGGGGAGGGAGTGGTGTGTGGGGGGGTGGGTGTCAGCCCATGTTTGCATCCCGAGCAAAAGGCCTGGGCAGGACGGGAGGGCCAGGGTCAGCATGGGAAGGATGCTTGCTGGAAGCCCTGAGTGTGGGGCAAGAAAAGACACATCCCAGTCTTGCAGGACACCCTCCTGGTGGGATACTGGGGCTGGGGGGGGAGGGACACATGCCAGTCTTGCAGGACACTCTCCTGGTGGGATATTGGGGCTGGGGGGGGGGACATGCTAGTCTTGCAGGACACTCTCCTGGTGGGATATTGGGGCTGGGGGGGGGACATGCCAGTCTTGGAGGACACCCTCCTGGTGGGATACTGGGGCTGGGGGGGGGACATGCCAGTCTTGGAGGACACCCTCCTGGTGGGATACTGGGGCTGGGGGGGGGACATGCCAGTCTTGCAGGACACCCTCCTGGTGGGATACTGGTGCTGGGGGGGGGGGACATGCCATTCTTGCAGGACACCCTCCTGGTGGGATACTGGGGCTGGGGGGGGGGACATGCTAGTCTTGCAGGACACCCTCCTGGTGGGATACTGGGGCTGGGGGGGGGACGACATGCCAGTCTTGCAGGACACCCTCCTGGTGGGATACTGGGGCTGGGGGGGGGGACATGCCAGTCTTGCAGGACACCCTCCTGGTGGGATACTGGTGCTGGCGGGGGGACATGCCAGTCTTGCAGGACACCCTCCTGGTGGGATACTGGGGCTGGGGGGGGGACATGCCAGTCTTGCAGGACACCCTCCTGGTGGGATACTGGGGCTGGGGGGGGGACATGCCAGTCTTGCAGGACACCCTCCTGGTGGGATACTGGGGCTGGGGGGGGGGGGGGGGGGACATGCCAGTCTTGCAGGACACCCTCCTGGTGGGATACTGGGGCTGGGGGGGGGACATGCCAGTCTTGCAGGACACCCTCCTGGTGGGATACTGGGGCTGGGGGGGGGACATGCCAGTCTTGCAGGACACCCTCCTGGTGGGATACTGGGGCTGGGGGGGGGGACATGCCAGTCTTGCAGGACACCCTCCTGGTGGGATACTGGGGCTGGGGGGGGGACATGCCAGTCTTGCAGGACACTCTCCTGGTGGGATACTGGGGCTGGGGGGGGGGGACATGCCAGTCTTGGAGGACACCCTCCTGGTGGGATACTGGAGCTGGGGGGGGGACATGCCAGTCTTGCAGGACACCCTCCTGGTGGGATCCTGGTGCTGGGCTCACGGCACGGGTGGTCTCCATTGAGGATGTGCCGCCCCCCCGGCCCCGCAGCCCAGGACCCCCGGGGGGGTGGGGTGGGCACTGACGGACCCACGGACCCGCCGGACAAACCCTGCGCTCTGCTGCCCCCTGGCGGCCACGGTCGGCGCGGCGGCTGCACCCCCGGGGCACCTCCCCCCCTGGGGTGTCTGCACCCCAGTCCTGCGTTCCCCCCTCCAGCCCCCCCCCCCCCCCATCCTGCCCCACGGGTGAGTGACTGCCCGTCCCCAGCTCTGCCTGCTCCCCCGGAGTGGGTGTCTGTCCCCCAAGTGCGTGTCAGCCCCCTCCGTCTGTTCCTGGGTCCCAAATGTGTGCCTGCCCCCCCCCCCCAAAAAAAAAAAAAACACACCCACCCACAGCCCCCCCCATCACCCACAGCCCCCCCCCCATCATCTCGCCTCTCCCCGCCGGGTCTGCGGGCGCCCGGCGCTGCTGCTGCCTTCCCCCTGCCCCGGGCTCGCCTCGTCCCGCAGAGCAGCGCTGCTGCCGCCTCCTCTTCCTCACCCTCCTCTTCCTCCTCCTCCTCCGGCGGCACCCGACGCTCGGGGCTCCCGATACCCCCCCACCCCCCCAAGTCCGGCTTCCCCCTCCCTCCCTGCCGTCGCCCCTCCCGGAGCTCTCCCGTGCCAGCGGGAAGGCGAGCGGAGCCACCGAGCGCTGCCGGCCGCTGCCCAGCGCAGCCCCCCCCCGGAGCATGCGAGGGCAACGGGGGGGCACCGACCTCGCAGCCCCCCCGGGCGGGCAGGCGGTGGGGTTGAGGGGCGGCGAGAGCCTGTCGTCGTGGGGAGGGGGGCCGGCGTGAAGCGGGGCTGGGGAGGGGGGGAGGCAGGAGCAGCGCAGCCTGCTCGCCCTCCATCCCTCCATCCCGGCTGGGGGGAGCGAGCCTTGCCCCGCGGGAGGAGAAGCCGGGGGGTGGGGGGGGTGGGGGGGGTGGGAATAGTTTGGCAGCGAGGTGCTGAGCGAGTCTTGGAGGGGGCTGCGGGGATCATGCCGGGGGGGCTGCGCCTCGGCATCGCTTTCTCCTCGCCCTCCATGGAGCCCGGACCTTTTCTACAATGACTTTCCCTGAGCTGAGCAATGGCAGCTTGAGTGGGAACCGGACGGGACAAGGCAGCCAGAGCGGTGCCAACCGGTCCTGGGGGCTGCAAGGTGAGGAGACCCCCCAGGGCAACGGCACCACACTGACTTTCGCCTTGGACGTGCAGGCGGTGGGCGTCGGGGTCTTCCTGGCCGTCTTCATCCTCTCAGCCATCGTGGGGAACATCCTCGTCATCCTCTCCGTGGCTTGTAACCGGCACCTGCAGACCGTCACCAACTACTTCATCGTGAACCTGGCCATCGCCGACCTGCTGCTCAGCACCACCGTGCTGCCCTTCTCGGCCACCTTGGAGGTGCTGGGCTTCTGGGTGTTTGGGCGCATCTTCTGCAACATCTGGGCAGCGGTGGACGTGCTGTGCTGCTCCGCCTCCATCATGAGCCTGTGCATCATCTCCGTGGACAGGTACATCGGCGTCAAGTACTCCCTCAAGTACCCCACGATCATGACTGAAAGGAAGGCGGGGGTCATCCTCGTGGTGGTCTGGCTTTCCTCTATGGTCATCTCCATCGGTCCACTGCTGGGATGGAAGGAGCCACCGCCGCCAGATGAGAGCATCTGTAGCATCACGGAGGAGCCAGGCTATGCCCTGTTCTCCTCCCTCTTCTCCTTCTACCTGCCCCTTATGGTCATCCTGGTGATGTACTTCAGGATCTACGTGGTGGCCAGACGGACCACCCGGAGCTTGGAGGCCGGGGTCAAGAAGGAGAGGAATAAATCCATGGAGGTGGTACTGCGCATCCACTGCCGCAGCGTGCTGGAGGAACCTCTCTCCAGCACCCGGAGCAAGGGGCACAACTTCAGGAGCTCCCTCTCCGTGCGGCTCCTCAAGTTCTCCCGTGAGAAAAAAGCAGCCAAGACTCTCGCCATTGTCGTGGGTGTTTTCATTCTCTGCTGGTTCCCATTCTTCTTCGTCCTGCCTTTTGGTAAGTGACCGTGTCCCCCATCCCAGCCCCACTGCTCGTGGCTGAGCCCCCAGGAACCTGCTCCTTGGTACAAACTTTCAGGACACAGCTCATGCATGGAGTTGAGGGATAGATAACTGATCGGCAGATAAACCAGCAATGAATTCATTCAATTAATTAGCACTTATTCAATATTTATTAATCAGAGTCATATAATCAATCAAAGTAAACAGCAAATGAATAAAATATCAGCATAATAATTGCTTTAATTAATTCATTCTGCATTCAGCAGTTTAATTAATGAAGTTCAGGCTAAAGAGGCAGCAGCTCTGTTTCAAACAGTCTGTAATTACAGCACAGTGGTCTCCAAACAGCTTTACCATCCAGGCCCCCAGGCCCCCAGCCTCCCTGCCTCCCAGTTTGGGGAAGGGCACCTGGCTCTGCCTCTGGGGGCCCAGGTCTCCCACTTCTGTTGTGAACTGCCAAAAGTGTTGGAGATGAGTGAGGTTTGATCTCCCCAAGGAGCGTGTCAGAGTCTGAAGCCTAAGTCTCCCTGACTTCCCGGGATGCCAATGTTGTGCAGAGACCCGGAGTAAGATCAGGTCTTATCTACAAGGGTGATGTTCCTAGATGATTTCCCACGGTTGATCCACCTCCTCCAGGAATTGTGCCCTCAGCTCCTGGCCCTTCCATGGTGCCCATGTCACTGGGTGCTCATTTGGGGTTGTCTGAGGGGTTGTGCTCTAAAGTTCTGGTAAGTTGTTTGCCTGGGTGAAGAGGATGCAGCTGGGGAAGTGTGATGTCCAAAGCAACGTCCCCTTCCAGCACCAATGCTACCCATGGCCCATGAAGTGCAGGAAAGCTGGTGCTCTTCATCACCACCTCATTTAACAACAGGCACGCAACTCAGGGAACACGATTAACCCTCTGGACCGATGTAGCTAAACATTGGAGGGAAAAAAAAAAAAAAAAAAAAAGATATTAAAATAACTTCTGACTATTGATAATGGCCTTTGCACATAGCTCAGCTTATCCCAACTCTCCATAGGGGTGAAATTGCTGCTCTGAAGAGTTTTCACCCTGTGTGAGCATGGGAGCTCATGGTATAACTCGGGCATTAAGGCTGAAGTGAACTTGTCTGACTACAAGACCCAAGATGAATTATCTTGTCTGACCATGCCTCAGTTTCCCTTTCATTGATCAGGTGCATTGGGGGATTTTTATAGCCTGTAAACAAATAGCTTGGGAATTGTGGGGCTCAGGGAGATGCCGGTACCTGAAGGTTGAGCTCTCTGGGCAGCCCCAGTCTGATACTCACCCCCATGGCCAATCAGCAGGGCAGGACCAAGCTCCAAACCTCATTCCCACCTTTACACCTTACAGCTAATAAAGCTGGGAATGGGGATCCTGTTCCTCTGAGTTATTCCCAGTACTTGGAAATAGAGAACAAACATCAGGCGAATACTTTTCAGTAGAAAAACATATTTTCTTTTGTTTTACCATATCTGTTCTCCTCTAAAACTCTTAAACCAGCTTCTGCACTGATGTAAATCACTATTCTTGCGTTGAAGTCAAAGGAGATATGATGATTTACAACAGCTAAAAATCCAAACTTCATTCTTTAAGTACCTCCTGTGAACCCATTTGCTTCCTCCAAGCACACAACTTGCCAAGTTTTTTATAAACATGGCTTTGATCTTTACTTCCTGCCGTATTATAAGTATAAAATAAACACAGCAAAAGTTCATTTATTTTATGACTACAAAATATGCTGCCTTTGATTTCGGTCCCCTTTTATTAATTGCAATTTCCTATTCAAATCTGAGAATCATTCAATGCTATCTAGAAGGAGAATGGAAGGTCTAATCTCTGATTTTACAGCTCAGGAGACAGGTCTGAAACTCAGAGAAATCAGCAAAGTTCACTCTAAATCCACAAACTGAAACATGCCGGGGCCAATTCTCCTTTGCAAGAAAAATGTAAATGTTAAGTAGAATGCATCTTTTATTTGCCTGTTAGACAAACTTATGTGAAATAATTTGGGACCAAGTGGAAATTATATTGATACACATTTTAAATGAAAATGAAACACTCATGAGAAACAAAAATCACTTTCAATTGAAGTGAAACATATTGTTTCAATTTAAGAGTAAATGGAAGTTTATTAAAAAATGAGTACTCAGATACATTTCAAAATGAACTGTCACATTAAAATGAAATAGATAAGTGATCTATTTTCTTCTGAAAATATCAAAATGTTTTGACTTTTCTTTTTCTATTTCACATGAATTTTCAAGAAGTTGTCATTGACTTACACTGTTAACTGACTATTGTCTGATTATATTTTTTAGGGATAAGTAAATTTGACAACTAAAAAAAAAGACTCCCACCTCTACTTAGCATGTAGCAATCAGAAACTTCTGTCCTGGCTCTGTCACTGGTGTCTCTGTGAGTCTGCACACATCTTTGCAACTCTCTGTAGAATAGTTTTCACATTAGTCACATGGGACTAATATTTATCACATCATGGTTGAGAAGCTGAAATAACCAGTACTTTTAAAAACAGACCTATGTATGTGCCAAATGTTGTCAGGCATTTCTCCACACTTGAATAATCTACAGAGTTTCTTCTTTAAATCCGCTCAAATTCCCTGATAACTCTACAGTCTATTTATCAGCTGAGAAATTTAGATCACTCTTGGGTTTGTGATACACATCCCCAAGCACAGGATGCCATCACTGGGAACTTTAACACAATTAACAGTTTCTTTGGCTAATGAGACTCTTTAAACAGCTGGTTGTTCAACAAGAGATGAAATCCTAATTGCCCACGTAACTCTTGTACAGGTTGTACCTTCTGCTAGGTGTGCAGCAGAGCTCTACCAAGCTGCTTTGTGGGGGTCCTGGGTGGTGGTTGTGTGGTTTAGGTCAGGGTGCCTCTTCCCTTAGCAAGGACCTGTCATGAAAACATAACCAGACTCTTCTCAGAGATGTGGACCAGGAGTTTAAGGGTGTTTTATAGGACAGGATTCATCTCTCTTTGGTTGTCTTAGGTATCTGTGCCTTCATCTCAGCAAGTCACAGCATCATGGAGATGCTAGTTGGACGGGATCTCTGAAGGTCCAACTCCCTCTCAGAACAACACTAGTACTAGATCAGTCATATTGACCCAAAGCTCATTTTATCTTTCCGAGGGGAGTGCCCGAAGGTGTGACTCACCTGACCTATTTTGGACATCCTTCTTGGGATGAGAATAATCGTGGTGTCAAACTGCTTCTTCCTCTTCCTTGACTACAAAAGCAGCCAGGGGCAACTAACCAGCTGATGGTGTCTGCACTGCAGGTATTTGCAGAGAGGTGGGATGTATCCTAGTCTGTATTTTTTTAAGTCTAATGTAAGCAAGATGCTCAGTCCCGTCAGCTCAAGACTTTATTAGACAGAGAGAATAGACAGAGAAACTCTCTCTTAAGTTACACAACCACAGAGGCTTCACTGGTTCTTCTGCTAATTGAAAATCCTACTGAAAGTTAGGTGCTGGATTTGCCCTCGCAGTAGGGCATCTATGCAATGGGTCAAGGAACCAGAACCCCCTATACAACACTTCTAGCTAGACAGTCTATATAGCTTTCTCAAAACTGATCCAGGAGGCAGTAAGTAAGCATAGGAGGACGGATGGAGCCCTGCTTTTCATCTACTCTTGAGTGGCTGGGGAGCATGCAGAGACAATGTGGAACCCCAAATGGGTCCATCTCAGAAGTGGAGGCAAAGACCTTCTCCACCACCACCCCAGAAGCATCTAAGAGGAAACAATCATCCCTTGGGATCAAGGAGGCACTAGACAGTATCCAGGATGGTAATTTACACTTGACCCCTGTATTTAAGAAGCATAATCTAGTCTGGGGGATGGGCTCCCATCTTTGTTATTCTTTGGATTTGGTTAGAAATCAAGACCAGTGTGAGAAAAGCACAGCAGCGCCCATAGCTAGTGCCACAGAAGGGTGAAGGCCGTAACCCAAGGCTCCCTTCACTCTGTCCTTCTACAAGCAGCAGGTTACCCAGACAAGGAATGACTTAAGAGATCCCTCAGTATGAGCAAAATCCTCCATATTCATGGTCTTATGCTTGCCTTGGGGGGTGGTGACTTGCCTGTGTTTGCAGTGGAAGCTGGTACGCATTTCCAGCTGTGATTCAGAAAAACAGTATACTGGCTTTTTTTACCTGCATCCTGAAGGAAAGGCAGCTGCCACACAAGCCAGGCTTGGAAAGGTCTCCTTCAAGCCAAAGCAAAAATATTTTTGTCGATGCTGTTTTTCACAGGGCAGAAGTCCTTTCACAACACATTTTGCAGAAGATGGGCTCACAGAGGCATAACAGTGCTCAAGCTTCAGTAACTGACACTTGTAAAATAAGCTATGGGGAAGACAATATAGGTAGAAGCGCATTTCAGAGGAGACCACGTCTGTTCTGGTGCAAGTGGAGAATCTAATTCTATTCTGGTAGAAGAGCATTTAGCAGAGTTTCCTAAGAAAAAAAAAGGGCTCTGTCATTGCTCTGTGCCTGTAAGCCTTTCCCTACCACCTGATGAACTCTTTCATTAATCTCAATCACATTTGTCGAAGTGCTGAAAGTCCTCAGTATACCAAGTTCCTATAGAAATAGGCAGATGGGTAAAGGAGTGGGAACTTTTATACTCTCCCTCGCAGAACGAAGGCTGCAGAGTGAACTCAGCCCCTGATTAGACATCAGAAAATACTCAAAATCCACCACAAGACACAACTCCACAGAAAACCAAACTTCTTTAGTTTTGTTCACAGGAGGACCTGATCGAAAGTGTGATTTAAAAGGAGGAGGATGAAAGATAGACCGTTCAATTATTTTGATTGTCAGGGCAGTCTCTTCTATCTCCTGAAATTTTCTGAGTCATGGTGGAAGTGGCAGAATTGGCATGGAAAAGGGAATGGGCAACTGCTTTGGAATATTTAGCTATGGCCCAGAGCATCAAATCAAACTGGAACAAGAGC